TTATATTATGCCATTTCTTAAATAAGGATAAATAATGAAAGTTTTTTTTTTATTTCATAGTTATAGTTCCCTCTTTAAAGTAGAAATTGAGTATGGCCGATGACTATAATTTTATTTGCTATTCCTCTATCATTACCTGGAGTAACAGTCATAGTTCCAAAAAGAGATTATACAAAGTAACAGTTGGGTTTGTTTAGAATTTAGGTTATGTGCTCATAATTGTTAAGCAAAGGTAAAATTCACACTTTATTACATTTTAATATTACACTTAAAGCTGAAGTGTTTCTAAGGAACAATGGTACAGTGAAGTGAGCAAAAAACTAGTGAAGTTGTATCTACAAGCTTATGATGTTTTCAAGAAGGGCTATGTGTTGTACTAGAGTCAGTGTCCACAGAAGTACTAACATCTTCCTCCTCTAAATTCTTGAATAACAATTTTAAGACCCTTTTTCCATTTGGAAAATAGGCACATATTAGTTAGAAGAACAGCATCAGAAGTCACATGTTCATTCACAAAATGGGAAATTAATGAAATAAAGAAGAAAATAATTATGGATGGTCCTTGGAACACTATGCAAAAAGTCTTTATCTTATTAAATTATCTTCAGACTTGTACCGTTATGATTCATTTGATATATTGCTTGCAGACAGTAATATTTTTTTTGTTTATTAGGTTAAAAATGACAAGCATTCTGTCTTTTTATTGTTCAGTTTGGCTTGAGGAAGCTGAAATTATTTTGTTTTTCAATCTGTATAATGTCATGCCTACCCAGAGGAAAAATATCTAGTTTTACTTGTCAGGTAGCTGATTGAGGGTATAATGCTAAATTCTTATAAATTCTTAACTAATACATTTTGGAAACTACAAACAATAAGTGCTTTTAGTGGTTTCCTTTTTCTTTCTCTTTGATATTTGTCTGCTTCTTAAAAATGGTTCCAGGGACAACTACAATGTTTTCCTTTGTGAGCTATATATTATTAGACGACTGCATTTGTAAAGAAATAGTGTACTGAAGTAATATTGCCAGATTTAATACTACACATCATACAAGTATAAATAGCCTTTACATGGGGTTTTTCTATATATTGTATATCTTTCACTGCATTTCTATGTGTTCAGCAAATCCTGGGAATGATAGTTGTAAATAGTCTTATTTATATCTTGTAAATAGATTTTTTAATAGTTCCCACTTCACAGTATAGTAAAGTGATCTATTGGACTCCAAAGTGGTGCTGTAAATTTTTCTCTGAGACAAATGGGGCACTTACTACACCTGTGTGCACAGAAATAAACCCATCTGGCAGGAAGCATAGTATTTATGGCTGACCAGAGGAGTTCCATACATTAACTGCATTAAATATCTTCCCCAGATCTTAGGGTTCTCCAACCACTGGCCTATATCACACGATTTAATCAAGAGCTTAAGTGGATGTTCTACATTGTGTTTTGGAAAGTCAATATTATAATGGACTCTTTTTTTAATTTAACAAAATAGTGTTGTTTAATTCTAAATACATATACATAAACTTCTCATTTTATTGCATACATTTTTAAACAATTGACATTTTTTTGGTACAGTAAGAGAGAGAGCAATGTTTGTTTCATACTTGATTGTATTTTTTGTAAATAGGGGTTATGAAAATAAAGAATACCGGAAATAGGCAGAGTGGGTTACTCAATAAGTAAAATGATCAATCATAACCGATAAATTGCAAAAGATATGCCGAGAATATACCAGGGCAGTTTGTATAATTAGAGGCACCCGAGTAGGTGTAAAATCGTGAACTTTGTGAAAGTACTGTGTGGTCGCCATGTTGGCGCAGGCTGGTTGCACCACAAGCGATGCAAGTTTTGATGTGAAAGCAGCCCTTTTTGCTCACTAGACATACACTGCTGTAAGCAAATGAGAAACGTGGTTTCCCGACCGTGTTTATTATTATGTGTATGTTTTAGTTGGTTGGTAGGTTGCTCTTTTTTTGCAATTTTTAAAAGTATCTAAAAAGACATGTTGCCTTGAATGTGCTGGTTTCATGAAAATATTTACTATTAATAGTATAAATATTAAGAGTATTATGGTAGCAAAATTCACTTGGTCTTAAGCGTGTTTACAATGTAATGGGCACTTTTGCGTCATCAGAAGCTTTGTTGCCTCATTCTGAATCGCAGACAATGGTATTATGGTGCTACTGTACTTATACATTTGACCAGCAGCCATATCACCCTGCAACTCACAACTGGCAACCCAGTGAAGCTAAGCAGGTGTGAGCCTGGTCAGTACCTGTGGGGCCAGCAGGGGGCGCTCACCCTGCAGTCTGTGTGGGTCCTAATGCCCCAGTATGGTGACGGGGACACTATACTGTAAACAGGCGCCGTCCTTCGGATGAGATGTAAAACCGAGGTCCTGACTCTCTGTGGTCCCAGGGCGTTTCTCGAAAAGAGTAGGTGTGTAACCCTGGCATCCTGGCCATATTTCCCATTGGCCCTTACCAATCATGGCCTCCTAATAATCCCCATCTATGAATTGGTTTCATTACTCTGCTCTCCTCCCCACTGATAACTGAAGTGTGGTGAGCGTTCTGGCGCACTATGGCTGCCGTCGCATCATCCAGGTGGATGCTGCACATTGGTGGGGAGTCCCCATTACCTGTAAAGCGCATTGAGTGGAGTGTCCAGAAAAGCGCTATATACATGTAAGCAATTATTATAATTATTATTTAAACTTCGTCCCTTTTGTGATGTAAAAATGCTTTGAAATGCTCTCATCATTGCCAATTTATTATATCCCTGAAACATCAAAATAGCATAGCAGTTCACCTTGAAATGCTGATCAGAACAAGGACCCCCCAGTCTGTCACTGTCTCTTCTCCTCTCTCTGATCCACTTCTCTCTCTATACCTGCCTGTTCCTCAATTGTTGATGACTCAGTGTTAAGTTAATTAAAAAAGGTAAATCAGTTCTTTTCTTGCTTCGCAGCTACTGAAAACTACAATTGTTGACATGAGTTAGATGTTTCTTGAGACACCTCAATAGGAACTTAAAATAACTGTAGCAATATTAATAATAATATTGATATTGATAATGCTATAATCTGTGCTATACACCAGTGTTTCCCAGTTCTGGTCCTGGAGTATCTATCTCTTCTGCTCCCCATTCTATCTATCTATCAAAACTGTTTCTGCACTCAGGTGTTAGTCTCCCACATAAACTCCTTTATATGCTTCATTTCAAACTAAGTTAGCAGGACTCTGTCTCAGCTTGGCTTAAAATTGTTATATTCGTGTCATTTTCTAATATTAGAAATTATTAAAATTTCATTTTTTCAAGCTTATTCTTTTTTTTCTGCAAAGGAAATAAGTGTAAGTGTGTAGTAATCTAGGATGTGTAGAATTTTTGGGCAGCGATAAACATAAATCTGTAGAAACATTTCAAATACAATTTAGTCTAAAATTAAAACACACAAAGCCATGAACATCTAGAGTATATGGATCAAGTAAGATGGTAATGTACGAGATATCATTCAGGTCTAGCAACAGAAATTACAAAAAGTCAAGTGTGGGGATAAATCTCCCTGGATAATTAAATTTTTAATAATCTTTAGGTAGTTTGCAGGGCTGAATTATTGTAAGAACCAATGTAAAATGGAACTACCACATCCACAGGGAAATTTACTTGATAACGTTATTAAAGGGAAAGAAAACCTGTAAATTTCCAAATCTGTCGCGGATTTGGAAGGTTGTGATAAATCTCTAGATTTGTAGTTTTTCCCATTCAGGCTGTGTGAAGAATCACTACAGGGAAATGTACCAAATGGAAAAATCACTGTGTGAGACTTATAGGGAATGTTGTTAAGATGGAACTGTCTTAAACAAAAAAAAATGTCTTCAAAGCAAAATAAGTTTCAGAGGATTGACCTAATTTGTTGTATTTCATTTGTAAGTGTTATTTATATACCACAAGAGTTAAGGGGTACTGAGCCCTTTCTGTGTTGCAGTGATAAAGGGATCAGAACACACCTAATAGTTTCTTGTGAGATCATCTTCATTGTTGTGTGTTTTTTTAATAGAAAATACATTTTTACAGTTTTTAAGCACATTATTAACTTTAAAAAGAGGAAGTATAAAATGAAACAGATATTTCAGTGATGAGAAGATACCACAATGCTCAGTGATGCATTTCATGGTTCTGTTTTAAATGTGTTTATGTGATTTGTTCTTGATGTTCTTGATGGATAATTATCTGTGTTAACCTGGTTGAAAATACATTTCTTCAAACCCTGGGCAATTACAGATAACATTAAATTTCTTAACTGTTGCATTCAAATAAAAATGGCAAAAATAATGTTTCTGCAAAAATAAACACCACAGTATTGGTCTGCTGTACATAAAGACATAAATGGTTCAGAGCTGTAGGAGAATAGATTAAAATGCTATTCTATTGAAAAGACCTCTGCAAGCAGTTACTTTCTCAAGACTTTGTTGTAGTTAAAAGGAACACCAATTAATGTATAGTCATTGTCACAAAATACACGCTATAGAAAAAGTAACTTGGATGTGACTGAGATTACTGACAGCCCACTAAAAGAATGGGATGTTATACTAAAGCTAACTGAAATTATTCTAATCCAATTAGTAATCTTTACATACATACTATATTGTTTTTTTTATTTGTCTTGCCTGAAGTAATACAGCATCTTGATTAACTTAATGAGGATAGATTATTCCTAGAAGGAAAGAGTCCCAGACATATTGAATAATCATTAGGAAACCAGAAAGTCTCCCTAGTTGTAGCTCACTGTGTTATTAATTTATCCTTAAGTTTGGTTCAGGATTTTTTTTATTGTCTAGCACTATGCATTTTATCTTGGTGACCTGGAAAATAATAACATTTCCAAAAAAGAGATAGTACTTTTAAAAGTAGAGGTGTTGTAGTGAAGTGTTGTTATTTTCTTCAAATAAAATGAAAATTGAAGGCTAATGGATTCCTTTCTTTTTCTTAACAGGAAAGACATTCTTCGATTCTTGGATGCAGAGAGGGATGTCTCAGTTGTGAAAAGCAGTTTTAAGCCAGGTGACGTCATTCACTATGTGCTAGACAGACGTCGAACACTCAATATTTCACACAATTTACACAGCTTGCTGCCGGAGGTGTCACCAATGAAAAACAGGAGGTTTAAAACTTGTGCCGTGGTTGGCAACTCAGGGATCCTTATTAACAGTGGTTGTGGAAAGGAAATTGACAACCATGATTTTGTCATAAGGTAGGTCTTCATAATGGAGGATTTTGTGAATTTTTGAGTTTGCTAATTGGTCTAATTTGCATAGTGGTGTGATTTAAATGAGCGTAGTGAGATAAAACATAAATGCAACATTTCTCTTTGCCTTATTTTAATGTTTTGGTGCAAGAATTCATATACAATGTTTTTGTTTTAGAGATTGTTGCAGAATGGAAAGTATAACTCATATTTTTTTGTATCATAAATCAAGTCTGGGGCTCTCCTAAGAACAAAGGCACTTCCTCTATAAGGAGGTTGAAAGAGGTTTTAGAAGGTGCGTCTCCTAAGTGCAGAAATTCGTCCCTGCTAAATGTCATGTAAATTACGTTATGTTATACTGTAGCTGACAGGCTATTCTTCTCTTTAGTTTTTGCTGATTTTTGATCACACTAACCTTCAGATGACAAATTGTGATAAATGCTTACCATTCAAGGGTCATCTGACATCTTTCCTATGCATATTTTGTTCACAGTATATCCTGTATTACATGGGTAAATATCACACGTGGTCACTTAAAGGAAATATAGATTTCTAAAAACACATTGTGTTAAGATAATTAGCATTACTATAATTCCCGCTTCTTTTATTCATTTTTTTTTATATATTGCTGTAGTGTATGAATGATTAATTCATGTACTAAAATAAAGATTAATATTCTCTAGCTCCAGTATAGTTTCAAGGAAGCTGGATATATCTATTTGTGTACTTGCAGTGTAATGAAACTCTAGATGAAGGTCTGCACTAGTCCACTTTCAAGCAGCCTGGAAGAAACCTATTGTGAAACCTATTATAGAAAAGGGTATTTAATAGTTGTGCCAGTCAAGTTCCATTAATCAGGTTGCCCCTCTAATCAGGCCCCAGTGGGCTTCTTCAGAAAGTATCAGTCTGTAGAATCTTGTGTGCTCCCATTGTGTGGAATCTTGTTTGACCTCGGGGACACAGCTTATCACCATTGGTAACCCAATGGGCGTGAAAGTAGGCTGCATCCTTCGTGAAGTTTTCTGGGAGCTAATGAGTTGAGCTTTTTACTACTGACGCCGATCTTGAGTGCTGTGTTTTTGAGGCACGTGTCTTAGAGAACTGTGGGCATACACAAATGCTTGTGTATTATCAGAAACAAACACAAGCAGACTTCTTTTGCAGCTACTCTTTCATCTGTGTGGATGCAAAGGTCCTCAGTTTCTAAGATTTCAACCAGAGTAATCATATAATTTGTGAAGATACCAGCTGGGCATTCAGGCCTTGGGCCATCTTTGAGGCAGCATTTAAACTTGGCTGACCTCTCTGGAGTTCCATTATCTCATATCTTTCTTCACCAGAAATGTAAAGTTGATTTTTTTTTTTGGGGGGGGATTCATGTATCTTCACTGAAGCAGTTGTCAGTAATTCAAGAAAGGAAACAGGATCATTTTTCTCAGTGTCATGTAGTAAAGGTATCCACTTTCAGATAATCCATGAATCACATTGGTGTAATGAATTTACTTTGTTATATTAATTTAAAATTCGTTTTAGGAATGAATGTCTATCTAGTGGGATTATTCTAAAATGTTGCTATTTTGTTTAACTTTTTAAACGAACAGAAGAATTCATTCAAAATCAGTGTAGATGTGATTACTCTGATTGTTCAGCAAGAACTAATTAACAGTATAAAAAGGTGGTCTTACACCTAATTCTCTGTGTGGATGGAAAAAGTAATTCCAATATCTCCTTAAATTGTCTTCATGATGTTTGTATCCCTAAACTTACCTGATTTGTAATGCTTTAAAATATTCTAAATAATTCTTAGATTAAATGTTTTTATAAAGACGTACTGTAGCACAAGACTGATATTTTGTGCTTGTAAATTTTTAGTTTTTTTTTACTGTATAAATGTGCTTTGTTGTTGTGAAATATACATTTCCTATTGCTGTATACAAAACCTCTTACTGCCCTGGGTTCCAGAAAAACCTATATTTAATTTCTTATGAATGTGACATGTAGCAGAAGTGTAAATTACCTCTTCGGAAGCAATAGCTAAAAACGATCTAATTTCCTGTGCTGTCTAGAATATTTTTTTTTGCTACAGTGCCCCAAAGGAAATAGTAACAAAACTTTATATGACAGGATGACCTATAGATTAATGTCTTACTTAAATAAAAATATACTGTGATTGTAATTGCATTGCACACACCAAAGTCATATTTGTCATAAGTAATTTCATTCCAGAAAACAAAAAGGTCGAATTTTTAAAACATGTAAGTATTCCTTTAAAGTAATCCGATAAATCTCCAATAACATTCAGCTGTGTAGAAGAGCAATTGAAACCTATGGAAGTATTTAAAGCCCTCCAAAGATGTTGTTTTCCTGGGGTATAAAAAGGAAGAAATAGTAATATGGATCATTATGATTAAGATCAGAGAGCTCTCCAGATTCTGCACACAAATGGCCATTGACGTCTACAAGTTCTCTGAAAATTCGAGATGAAAATGTAGTTTTTTTAATTATGTTTGGCCTGAAAAGGGTGAAACTCGTGTTGAGACAACAGTTATGACAGCTTTGAGTATTATGATTTGGGCTTGTTTGACATCTACTGTATATGTCCTGGAACCCTTGTTAAGATTGAGGGAATTGTGAACTTCTACATATATAGCACATTTGGGTTCTCTCTGCTAAAAGCACAAGCTTGGCAGAAAATGAATATTGAGAGCATGACCACATAAATGTAAGCATACATTCAGACCAACGAAGGAATGGATAACAGCATACAAAAAATGCTTAACTGTCCATCTCCTTCTCTCATCAGGCCTTCTCTATATTTCAGTCAAATTGATACAAGAATTCATTTTAAAATAATAGGTAAAAATTTCCTCTCAGAAATGCCAAAACCTCATAGCACACTACAGGATGGTTCTTGTCTGGGTAAGCCATGTCAAAGGAGGATTTGTAAAAGACTAAAAATACTAATTACAGGGATATGACCCATAATTTGTGGCCATGAATCATAACTGGACCCCTTGTGTTTTCTGAACTTCAATTAATTATAGCAATTATGACTTTGCACTTTACAGTACTATTGGTAGCAATGCTGTTAAGTTAGACTGTAGTATACCATTTTTATTTTCTTTGTTATGTGATGATTTGTCTCTGTTTTACTGGGGGTGTGAATACACCTGGAAGACACTACAATGTCAACATGCACCTTCTTTTGTGGAAATACTTAAAAAAAGGGAACTGAAGGAAAATCAATTTTATCTACATGCCTTTTTGGTCGTATGTGTCAGAGAGCAATACAAAACGTTGTAGAGAAAGACACCAGGAAACTACTGATACCTGAACTGTTCCTTTGTTCTGGGTACCTTGACTAAAGTGCAACAAGCAATAATCCTTTTGTTTTATACAGATTGATGCAGATTTAAATACTGCTTTGAAAAAGATCATGTCAGTGCAAAAAGCAAATGAACCACGATTTTAGACGAGCAATACAAGATCAGGCTTAGTAATGTCCAAGCTCTCTTTGAACTGCAGAGAAACAAAAGATTAGTGGCACACTGCCAGGCTTTCACATCACGTGAAGGTTACATTTTACCTTTAGGCCACAATTGACTTTCTTTGACTCCTGTAAATCTATGAAGCCAGTCAGACAGTTATGCATAACAATGACTTATATTTACATTTATTATAGCCCACAGTCAGAACCATTTATCTTTATGAAATTGGTTGACTCTTCTCCAGACTGAAGATTATTTATTAAACAATGCTTTGTTTTTTTTTTGTTTTGTTTTTTAAAAGGTGTAATTTGGCACCGCTCGCAGAGTTTTCTGAGGATGTGGGATTGAGGTCCGACTTCATCACCATGAATCCTTCTGTTATACAACGAGCATTTGGAGGATTTAAAAATGAGACTGATCGAGAGAGATTTGTCCAAAGGCTGACATTGCTTAATGACAGTGTTCTCTGGATCCCAGCCTTCATGGTGAAAGGAGGTGAAAAACATGTGGAGTGTGTTAATGAGCTGATCCTAAAAAATAAATTAAAAGTGAGAACTGCCTATCCATCACTAAGACTCATCCATGCTGTGAGAGGGTAAGTAGCTGAATTAAAATAAAATGTGTCCTTGGATAATGAGTCAGACTTGGGTATATATGTTTGCCAGTTCTGTAAATACATTTAAAAGTTAAAGAGGAAAGCCATTAGCATAGTGCCATATTAATGTTTCTTTTGAATGGAAACGTGGGAGGTAAAAGATCTAAAACAATTTCTTTAATAAATATTTATCAACAAAAGCTTTGATAGTAAAATGAGAACAGATTATTAACAGGTGCTTTTCACTGCATAGTGTGGGGTACTTTTTAAAGAAAAAGATACATTACCGCATATACTGTATAGTGAGTCAGTGATAAGAGACGAATGCTTTCCACAAACCAAGAGAGCAAGAATTGATATTTAAAGTGGGGACTTTGGAACATCTTGGAATGAACGTTAATTCTGACATCATGACCGTATTATCCTCAGAAGTGTAATGGACTGTGGAAACATTTCATTCTAAGCAGCTGAAGTAGGACTTTTGTCTGAAACCTCCTGAAACAAAATGTTTTTAATCATTTAAACCTTCTGTACAACACAAAAGATTCATTTACTTTTATCTACATGAAAAAGCTTCATATAAAAGATACAACAAAGGCAGCAATTCAAATTAAAGTATCTCACTGACAGCTGAATCATATAATCTTTACCCAAGCATACTCACTAAAGGTCTTATTCAAGTTTTATCATAATTAATTGAACTTATTATTAATACACTTATTATATTATATTATATTATAACAATAATAATAGTTTGGATTGTTTATTAACTTGATGGTTTGCATGCAGGTTAAGAAAATATTAGAAAAATATAATTCAAATACATTATATATACATCACAATATTAAAAATGTTGGAATGAATTTAAAGAAATTCAGAAAAGAAATTCAAGAAATTGAAAGAGACTGTGCATCTCCTAATATTGTTTTAGTCTTGCCATTAGGTCTTATACTTTAGTATCCACTCAGCAATGAGTAACTTAAAAGGGGAGCTTTTACTATGTTTTCAAGAGTGCATCTTTATTTTACATTTTAATTAAGACAGTGAGTCCTAAATTCTGTTTAGCATTAGACTTTAGATTAAGATTTGCTTAAAAACAAAAAACTGTGTAGCTTACACAGTTAATCGTAACAGTCGTAAACATATTTTCAGCCAATATGCTGGACCAAAAACAAAAGCTCTGTATTTTACATCTCCTGTCTATTTCCTCTTCAGTCAACTCCTCCCTGCTAAATTGAGCACTAGTTCCTGTATTGCTTTACCAGGACAGCTGTAGCAGATAGATAGCAAAGCTGATCTAACAGAGTTACTGTGACAAGCAATGGGAACAAGGAATGGGAACATATATGTAGGCCCTAGCATGGCCCCAGCTAAAGAAAAGCTGTGAAGGTTATTCTCATGAGTACTCTGTTCTACTACATAAACAGTAAATTCAGGAATTTAATGTGTTGGTAAGAAAATGTTTCTTAAACTTTCAGATTTTTTGGCAAAATGTTCCTTTGAGTAAAACTTAAAGTTCTTTAAAAAGTAGCGGACTGCCCAAGTTTGGTACATGTATATCATACTTTCAAATCATCAGTTTAGTTAGTGGCTTAATCACTGGTGTAAGTTACCATGCTGTTCTGCACCCTGATAGCCTAGAGGTAAATGGAGTGCAACATTAAGGGAATTCCAGGTGTGCAGGGAGAAATCTTTGGTGTGCGGAAAAGATAGTTGTAATCAATTCACATAGATAAACAGAAGTGAATTATATGCAGTTTGTGTAAGTGACTGGCATGGGGGCAAAGGAAATATGAGTGGTGCCAAAGGAACGGAAGTAACAAATAAAATGGAGCTGGCTAATTAAGTGAGGGGAAGCTGACCTAACTACAAAACCAAACCTGAAATATCCGGTCTTCAGCGTCTTCTAACGCCCTAGCTAACCTTCACTGACTACCCAAAACCATTCAAGATAAAAGGCACTCACCCGTCCTAAACTAGTGTTTCTAATACAAAGACAAAGTACGTGTGCACAATGTTACTTGACAACCTTAACTAACCCTTTACACAAAAGTTCACACAAGTACACAAATAAGGGAAAACGAGAGTAGACACAAGGAATAGGGTACAAAAGAGCACAGAGGTTGATATAACATGTTCGGGCAAGGTAATGCCAGAATAAAGGATAATACAAACAAACGAAAGTACAGGAGGAGACGAACACAAACCAACAAAGCCAAAGCTATACGGAAACACACACATGAAGCGAAATGAACAAAAACGAAGAGAGACGAACCCGAAGCAAAACGTAAGTGAAACTAAGCCGAAGCTGAGCCGGGAAGAACTGAATTTGAGCGAAAGGCCCCCTACATTCTGAAAACCTCCAAGTTAAATACCGAAGATGTTGAATTCTGATTGGTCGAGAAGCTGATTTCGAATGCCGTGGTACGGCAAGGTGGATGAATTAATGAACCAATGGGGAGGGAGAACAACCAAAGTCAGGAAGTGTGGAACATAGAAACAAAACAAACACACACGGACCATACTGGGACGTAACACATGGCAATAAGATGATCATAGTAGATTAATTATAGTTACGGAGTCTTTCAACAATAATAAATCAAAAGAGAATGGTATTTTCCTAAACATGAATTATTTCAAAGTCAAGATATTTCTAACATCAGAGAATTATTAATGTAAAAGTTGTTGAAGACATAATGGCTGAAAACACTGAAAATACAGCCAACAGCCAATGGTATTTTGACCACATACATTTAAATTGATTAAATTCTTAGGCCTCTTGCTCAAATATTCACATTGCCGCATACTATGTAAATACGCAAATGTGTAAAGTAGTACTGTAGATTTTGTGCAGTGCACTGCCACAGAGCATCACACCAGCCCCCATTTGCTGTGTTGAACATTATCAGATATAATGCCATACACTGAATTAAGGTCTCTCAGTAGTTGATATGCTTAAAATGTCTTTAGACAATGATCCCCTTGATTATTTCATCATTCAATATTGAAGCTAATAAAAAAACAGCTAAACTATGATGCTAGTTTTTATATTTATGCATAAGAATATTTAAAATCTTCAAAATTATTTAGATATTTTTAGTAATTAGTATTTTGAAAGGTCTGTTTTAGAGTGAAATTGTTTTGATCTTTCATTTGAGGGGGAATGAAATTTGACTTGGGTTGGGTCTGGCTGGAGATAAGGCATAAACTAGAATGAACCAAACAAGCAAAATGAACAGAATTATCTCTATCATTTTCCTTTTGTTTTTGTATATTAGATTAAATTGGCATATCATATGTTTTCTTATATTTTATTGCAGTGTTTGACTTATATATATCTTATATCTATATATCTTATATCTGAAACCAATATTAGGTGCTTGTACCATGGAGACATTTGTATTACCTCTCCTATGTAAAGGCAGTCACATTTTAGAAACGTGGGTTCAGTGATTGAATTGAAAAATAAGTTTTGTCTCCCATGAACTACACAGTTGCAAAAATATAATGATCAGATAGTACATTATCTCTTTAGTTAGCTGCTTCGTAAAATACTGTGCAACTGTCAGAAAATCTCTTATGGGTAGTAGCAGCTCTTGTGACAGTTGTATTCATGAAGAAAATGTACCTGTCAAATTTTCCCCCTATGAAAATGATTTGAGTTTCCTGCTTTTACTGATTTCATCCAGATTTGCATGATTTTCAGGTATTACAGAACTACACTGTGAACAGTATTGGTTAAACAGTAATTAATCAGTATTTCACCTATTAAATACCAGGACAAAGAGAGGATGAATAAGAATTGTAACTCTGAAATGAATCGCCAATCACCAGTATCCGAATACTGGATATTGGGCTTAATAATTACTCTGTCACATTTTTACAGTGGATACACTGTAGGTTCATACAGGACTACTCTTTGTTTGACTGTATGTTGCAGTCATTCTTTCTTTACATTAAGATAAATCTCAAAGAATTTAATGGCTGCCATGGCAACTCACAAGGACAACAGATACAGCTGTAGATTGCATACTTGCAGTGATTGAGCCTGAAGCTTGGAAACATTTAGATTTTACCATGGTATACCTAAGATTTCAGTTTAATATGGGAAATGGGGGACAGTGTTCGTCTACCCAGTTACCCGAATAAAGGTTGGATTTGCCTCCAATTTGTTTTATTGTAAGAACATCTGCGTTGAATATGTTGTTCTAATTATTTCCAAATCCCGAGTGTATTTAGTCATAATTATTGACAATTGTTGAAGGTATTATAAACAGATAAATATACTGGAGCACTTTAAACATAAAGCCTCATTTTCAAGGTAAATGTTAATTGGAATTAAATTAATGTAATTTTGTGTATTTTGGCTGTGATATCACATAATCCATTGTGAACATGTTTCTGATAAGAATATCCTTTGTGTAATGTGCATCTAGTAAAACACCCCACTGTTCAATAATGTGGTATGTTCAGCATTAAATTGAACAAAAGCATGCAAACTACCTGGTAGATTTAGTTGGCCGTGGACCATAGTAATACAGCTCCATTATATTTTAGCAAGTTATTGCTCAAAATAAAGTAATTACACTGAACTGGATCCAACAACAACTAAATTACAAAGTCTCAAAGTTCCAGTGTAATACTGTACAACATCAATCCAAATATTGACTTCCATTAATGCCCTTCTGCCTCTGACCCACTAATCTCAACAAAAGAAAATTATTCCCTTAAACAAACCTCAGCAAAAATGTGTGATTTTGTTTGTACATCTGTAGCCTTTAGTAAATAAAACAACAAAATGTAATTAATTGGAAAAAAACACCACACTTGTCAGTATGTAGGTGGGTTCGTAATGTAAAAGTGCTGTTTTGCGACCTGATGACATGAGAGTAATGGCATTAACATTGTAGGCTTGACTTATTACTTTTGTCTGATTTTTGTTGGTTTTCTGTGATACTGTCTTTCACAGTCATAACTGAGGAACCTTCCCTTTGGTGTTT